TTTTCACGTGAAGATGGTGGGGGCAGGCAAGTCTAAGAAAAGTGGGGCTTGGTCCTGTCTTTGGGTCCATGAGGACTGAAACTTCATGGAGTGTGATTTGACCATTTTACCCCTTTTCGGTTCTGTGTGACCACGTTTTTTCTTTGGCGCTTTACGATTCGCGTGGATGACTTTTCTCAAAATGTGGTCCGGACACGATAATTCTCTTCGGGTATTCTTGTCTTTTTCCTTTTCTTGTCATCATATCCAGTACATCCCCGTGAACATACAAAGCTTTGTTCGAGGTTATAAAGAGTATACATTTGAAATTTTGATAAACAAATGATTTTATACTACAATGCAGCCGTAAATGATGTTTTAAGGAACAGATTCATGTAATATTTCGCAAATGGCAGTCAATCTGATATAATGAGAGTATGGACCAACAACATACATAACCTTCCTGAGGAATATTTATAAATTGAGACGAAATCTAACAACTGTAACAAAAATCAGATCTAAATATCTATATGCATGGAAACAAATATTATAGCTATTATATTTTATATAGTTCTCTATATGGGGAAGATACATGTTATTCTTGTATGTCATCTCCCAATAAATTAGCATCATGGATACTAAGAAAATGTTATGAAATAATATGTTCATAAGATAATAATTTATATTAAAAATAAATTCACTTATTTCTCTCACAGTTTTTTACCATTTTTTTTTCTAAATCATATTTTTAATTTTAGTGTAATAAATCCGAATTTGGTGGAATCAACAATCTAATTTTGTTTCACTTTTTTTTTATAATGGAATCATATTCAAAATCTACTATTTATCAGCTACAAACTTATAAATATCAGCTTTATCATAAAACAAATCCAACACTCAATAATAAGATATTTAATAGTAATCATTAAAAATGTTTAAACCACATTTTTGAATCAACCTGTGTAGTCTGAATAGTCACTGAAAATTCCACCATTTCATATAAACTATGCAATCCCTTAACAATTAAAACCATGGGATTGGTTCACACCAATTATTACTTTTCGAAATTATATAAGCTGAATTAAAAAGCCTATATATACCACATCCTACTTTATCCCTTCCAAACTAAACAGTAAAAAAACTCACTCACCAGTCACCACCATGAGACACCTCATAGCACCTTCGTGG